ATTGCTCCTCAAGTGGTCGTCTAAAGGACGCCCCCGTCTACCGCAAGATAAACAACAAAAGTGAGGAGTGGGGCCGTGTTGTCGAGTGCGAGGTGGGACCGAGGCTACCGAATGGGAGCGAGCAAGCCCAGCCCGCGATCATTCTCACCCAGCACGGAACGAACGAAACGCACGTGATCATCGAGGAGACCACCACGTTCCTCAGTTTCCTCTACTCCGTGTGGAAAACGAACGGAGAATCGGTCAACTTGTCGTACGCCTTCCACATCGCTTCCACTGTGCGGCTTGCCGAGGCGGTGGTGACCGGGATTGTGCTCGGGGAGAGCACCGGCGGTGGCTGCTTCGGCATGCTGCGGGCGTTCAGCCGGGGTCCTAACCCACCGGAGGACGAGTATGGCGAGATGATAAAGGCTTTGCCGTTCGGCGAGAACCCGCAAAGCGGCAAGGTACAGAAGTTGACGGATGTGGAGACAATCGAGGCCGGCATAGACATCAACGTAGCTGCGATGTCGTGCCTCGTGTGCGTGCTATCCTTGACCGTGGTGGGCGTCGTCTGGGCGGTCTACCTCGGCAGGAGCACCGGCATGGACATCTATGACAGGTGGGGTACGGCTTGGTTAGTCGGCGGCCGCAGTCGAGTTGTCTCGGTGTTGTAAGGTCTACAGTAGGTCGGCTGTTGTATTGTCTCTTGTTTGCCTGGTCGACTGGTCTTCCAACTTACCTGCGACCAAATCCGACTGCATGCCTTGAAACTTGTCCTCTCCTGGAATTCCAACCCACCAGCAAGCAAGTCCGGCTGAATGCGCTTCTGTACGTTCTTCTTGCTCATGCAACAACAGAACGTAGAACAATGTTGTGAAACCTGTCCCTCCGCATCTTCTGTTCATGACGGCAGGGACGAGCTAATCCGCGCCGTGTCTCTCCAAGGGCAGCGCAGAGAGCTGGACCCCGCCGCCGAGCATTCCAAAATACGAATTTTCGTGCGGAGGGAGGACAACGGTAGCATCAGCGTCGCAATCAGCGACACCGGCCAGGCAGAACCAGGCGGCTGCTGGAGGTTCTGGCCATGCAAGAAGGTATCGTGCCAGGCGGACTTTACGTAAATGCAAGTCGGGTTAAATGTAATTCGTTTTTCGGTCGAAGGCGATCGCGTCGAGCTCCGAAGACTGCATGGTGACCCGTTCGCCGTACAGTTAGCTTGGCTATTTATTTGCCTGGTTACTTTTCGTCGAGAATTCAGCAACCCCAAGAATATCGAACGCCTCATGCGCTCGAAGAAGTACCGCCCTCTTTTGCTTCGCGTACCAGCGGGTCTCACTTGCTGATTGACATAGCAAACTGATTTTCGAAATGAATCACCTCTGACGCGACATTCATTCATGGTCTGTCCGTCGCGCGCTTAAAAGGTTGCCGAGACCGCCGATCCCTCCCCCGTAGCAGATACCGTCATCCAGAACAACGATGGCTTCGGGGGTGCGTCCGTGCCGGCGGGCTCGCGCACGGTGTGGCTCGGCGGCGTAAGAATCGGGAGGGCCCGCCCCTTTCCCGGCAGGGACGGCACCTTTACCTACCCCGCTGCCATCTCGCTGTCGGTTTCCCCTACGCCTACGTCGATCGCCGGCGGGAACCTTCATTTCCCGCCTCTGCAGGGGGACCCGCAAGAGCCGAGAACGCCAAACTCATTCGTGCCGGGAGGGCGGGGTCCGTCTGCGTTGTTCGAAAGCACGTCCTCGTTTGGCAGCGGTGGTGACGCCGGCGACGCCGGCGATGAGGTTGGCAGCGGCGACCGGGTCACCGGCGACCACTCCTTCGAGGCGTTCGGAAAAGTGGCGCCCGCACCCTTCGATGGCGGGTTGTACAGGTCTCCCTTGGGCAGGCCTAGTGTGCCTGCTGCGGGTGGGGGGCTGAGGTCTCCGGCTTCCTCGCAATCCAGGCCTTGAGCCTACGCGGTGCCTGTCGAATCTCAACCCGCATAGGGCGGACTCTGACGAACGAAAAGAAGCAAGCCTCCTTCATGATTGGAGCGTAAAACCACGTGCGGCTCGAGCGTACGGCAAAGGTTTTCGCAGGGCTAGCGCGCAGCGATGTGGTGTGGGTTTGGTTGTGTTCGTCAAAAATCACCAACATGCCCCATACTAACAACAGGTAAACTTTTGTCTGGTAGAAGGGGTTGTCGTCGTCGACCGAACTCGTTCTCGAGAAACATTGTTCGATCGAACAGCACCCACTACAAGAAATTTGGCCGCACGAGAGGAGCGAGTTTGCGGGGGTTATTCCGGACGTTACAGTGCCGGTTGTTTTTGGTTGTCCTCGTTGTTTGCCTTTCGGTTTTCGGTGTTGCCGTGCTGCTGTAGGTAGTCTGAAGTACACACTGGCACTGCTTGTTGGACAACAGGAAGAGCCATTCCTTGATCGCCAGGATTACTTGCCGCCATGTAGACCACAAGCGGCATCGTCCTTTCAGGGTCTATTCGCCATATATACATATATTTTCTTTTTACGTACGTGAAACACGAGCGACATGCTTTCAGGGTATTGCATACGTCTTGCATTTTATTGGGTTTCCTTACAGGACGAGCAGCATTGTCGTTTCTTTGTTTCCAGACCGCCAGGATTACCTTACCCCTGTCAAGTACAAGTGGCATTATCCTTTCAGGGTTTATTCGCCATGCAGTTTTTTTTTCCGTTTACGTATAGAGCGAGCAACATTATGCTTTCAGGGTATATACGTCTTTCATTTTTGTTTGGATTTATTGTCGTTTCAAGGTTCTAGATCGCCAGGATTACTTGCCCCCGTGTAAACCACAAGCGGCATTATTCTTTCAGGGTTTATTCGCCTTTTTGTTTTTTTCCGTTTACGTAAAGCACGAGCGACCGTACGCTTCCAACGTTTATGCGCCTTGCATTGTTGTTCAGATTGTCCGAGCGCTGCACAAGAGCAACAGGTATACAGGTACGGGAGAGGGAAAGGGGGGCGTACTGACGAGATGAGTGTGGCGGCGTTGCTGCAGGTAGTACGGTTGGAGTGGTGTTGAAAGTTGTTGAGGGTACTGCTGAAGGGGCACACACGAAAGAAGGAAGACAGATGGTCCGAGAACGAACGGCTGGGCAACCTTGCCGAATTCTTCAACGGATGTCTGACTCCTCTCTGTACTTACAATCCCCCGCCCACCAGGCATGGTACGCTTGCGGTGTACAGGTGAATTTTAGTCTGGAAAGCATCAGCGGTAGAGGTTGGTGTGTTTTGGTTTTGCGGTGCCCAGCACGCTTGTGGTGCAGTTTGAAAGCCCGGCGATCAAGTAGGTTGGAATACTGATGACAAGTATTGGATGTTTGAGGGTAATTCGGAGTTAGAAATGTACCGAGATGGAACGCGTTTTTTCTTGGAAAAGGTTTGCGCGCACCTGTTGATATTTGAGTAGTATATCGTTTAGGCATAGAAGAGGTTACAAGCACGCACACACCGGTTCACAAGGTTTTTTCATCGCATATTTGCCTGGATGATTTGGGGGGGGGTGTAGTAGACTAGTTTACGTACCGGACGGCCTTTTGGACAATATCTGTGCGTTTGTTTCGGGTGGCGATCCCATGGTAGAAAAAAAAAGGGTAAAGTAAACTAATTTGCATTATGTAAGAAGAGTAACAGACGTCCTCATGACTATTTTTCTGCGTATTTTGGACTTACTTTGGTGCGTCCAGAAAAAAAGACATTCATATATTTCCGGTTCACGCCGAAATTTGCTTTCGATTGATGTCGAATTGAATCCTGGCACAACCTCTGCCGTGACCACTACTACACCAATATTAACACCAAATACGAAGGTGTGTTTAGTCCTACTCCACTCTTGCCAAGCTAGAGGTTCACGCAATTTTGGCTGTCTACATGTCTTGCGTTCAATCCTCGCGTCGAACAAGAACATTACGTTCCTAGAGATACAAGTATTTTTACGTTCGGATATAAAAAACTGCGGACATTCAAGAGGAGCCGTTTGACGCACTCGTGTAGTAGAGGACATGATGTACACGGCTGGAAAAGAAAAAGAAAGTAAAAACGAATCTAAAGGCCCGCCATCGACCGGCGTCGACCCTGTCTGTCGAGCTGCATACATTCACAGTTTTGTCGGAAAGAACCCCAGCCCAGTATTTCCGGAAAGAAACATCTCTCTCTCTCTCTCTCTCTCTCTCTCTCTCTCTCT